TAAGACCTCATGTGTCAGAGGAACACATGCTTTTGCCGAGGGCTAACCTTAAAAAACAAGCCTAAGGGCTCTCAGAACTGCATTTGACAACATGAGCAAAACGAGTCCATCACTTTCATGTGCATTCGTTTATATTTAGAAAGCGTCATAGGCACATAATATCTACAGGCTGGGTGCTGTGGACAATATCGATATTAGGAGGTAGAAATATTAAACTTGAACCTACCCCAGGGCATACAACCTTGACTGTTCCAATATAAAAACAGGCAGAGGGTGATGACTCACAGCAAAAAACATGCATCTTATGGCAGTCTGAAAGTGCGCAGTAAGGTCAGGGATCAGGGGTCTTGCCCCGGTTCTGCCGCTATTTAGCTGTAGGATGTGAGGCGACATTTGTAACCCCCCTCAGACAGTTTTTTCACTAATGAAACAGAGTTTATGTAGAGTGATCAAAACTTATAAGGACCTCCATATGTTACATGTATAAGTTCTTAGCTAGAATAAGCACTATGAATAGTTCAAAGAAAGGCTTAACAAAATTTCATAAAAAACATGATGTCTTGCAGGAAGGCAGGAACAAGCTGTTGAAGTAACGTGAAGGGAAGGTAGGGGCATGACATTTGAAGAAAGGTCTACAAGATTCAATCATCTTCCCAAACCCTCCCTGCTGAGCCTGAGCCAGGCGCCCTCCCTCCCCGCCCCCAATATCAAGCATCTTCCAGGCACCCAGCCTAAATGCAAGACTGCAAAAGACTCCTGTATCCCCCAGAAACCCGTAGGTCTTAAGCTCTCAAAACCAAAATTTCTTTTCAAGGGACAGGTCTTTCATTCCACAGTAAGAATAAGAGTAAGTACACATGAGAGAGGAAAATGGAAGTTTCCTAAAGAGAGTATGCATCCAGCAGGATCATCCACTCAATCATTCAGCAAAGAGACTGGAAATACCCACCCCAGGCCAGGGTGGTGCTGGCGCTGGGGTGTAACAGTGGTCAAGGTAGGCACATTTCCGTAAGGGACAGTAGAATTAAGCAAACTAACAAGTAAAGAAATGCAGAGTGGCAATGGAGTTAAGTGCTAAGAAGAATATTAGATGGTACTACAAGAGAATTAAAAGGAGATTCAGTCAAGACATATTAGTATTCTCAGTTTTATGACACTGGTAAAACTGTTTAGGATTTATTGAATGCTTTCTTTATATCATACCCAATGTTAAACATTTTATGTTCAATTAATCTTTAAATCAACATTTTGAGGTTCATGTAATCACTAATCACAAAGTAGATAAAGAAACTGAGTTGGATGTATTAAGCAATTTATCCCAGGTAGGAAGTGGCAGACACAGAACTAGAGCAGATCTAATCCAAGCTGTATTATTGTAATAACTGTTTATTTTTACTTGCCCTCTATTGAAATAACTTAGTTTTACTTATTTTTCCCTTACCCCCATTCTGATGTGTAAAATTATACATTTCATTCTTATTTCCAAAATAGTTTCCTTTCATTTTTAATTGATATTAAGGCATAATGTAAGATATAATACATTAAGGAGAGAGTTTGATAAATTCTGACATATCTGGGTAACCACCACCATACTCAAGATATTTAAGCATTTGTATTACACCAAAAAACTCTGTACACTTTCTCAGCAAATCCCTTCTCTTCCCAGGTCTGAGCAACCATGGCACTCAGTTCTCTCATTACCCGTTACATTTGGCTTTTTTAGAGACTTGTATAAATGGAATCATACAATACAGGGATATCTCTGAGATATTGTGAGTTCAGTTCCAGACCACTGCAATAAAGCCAATATCATAATAAAGCAAGTTACGCAATTTTTTCATTTCCTGGTGAGTACAGAAGTTATATTTACACTACATTGTATGTAGCCTATTAAGTGGGCAATAGTATTATCTAAAAACTGTACATGAAATTTAAAATACCTCATTGCTAAAAAAAAAAAAAGTGCTAAAGATCATCGGAGCCTTCAGCAAGTTGTAATCTTTTGGCTGGTGGAGGGTCTTGTTGATGGCTGCTGAATGATCAGGGTGGTTGTTGCCAAAGGTTGGGTGGCTCTGGCAATTTCTTAAAATAAGACAACAATGAAATTTACCACACTGATTGACTCTTGCTTTCATGAAAGATATCTCTGTACTACACAATGCTGACTGACAGTACTTTACACACAGGGCTTTCAAAATTGGAGTCAGTCAACTCAAACCCTGCCACTGCTTTAACAAACAAGTTTATGTAAATAAATTATTTGTTGTCATTTCAACAATGTTCACAGCATCTTAGCCAGGAATAGAAACATCTCAAGAAACCACTTTCTTTGCTCATCCATAAGAAGTAATACCTCATCTGTTCAAGTTTTATCATGAGATTGCAGCAATTAAGTTACGCTTTCAGGCTCTACTTCTAATTCTAGTTCTCTTGCTATTTCCATCATATTTGCAATAATTTCTCCACTGAAATCTTGAACCCGTCAAAGTTATTCATGAAGGCTGGAGTCAACTTCTTCCAAACACCTGTTAATGTTGACATTTTGACCTCCTCTCATGAATCCTAAATGTTCCTAATGAAATCTAGAAGACTGAATCTTTTCCAGAAGGTTTCCAATTTACTTCTCCAAGATCCATCAGAAAAATCATTATGTATGGCAGCTGCAGCCTTATGAAATGAATTTCTTAAGTAATGAGACTTGAAAGTCAAAATTATTCCTTGATCCACGGGCTGTAGAACGAATGCTGTGTTAGAAGAAATAAAAACATTAATCTCCTCCTACACCTCCATCAGAGCTCTTGGGTGACCAGGTGCATTGGCAATAAGCGATTCACAATATATTATTATAATTATAATATTATATATTATACAGAACTTCTTTCAAAATTGGAGTCAATCCATTCAAACCCTGCCACTGCAAAATATTATTTTGAAAGGAATTCTTTTTTTCTGAACAGTATGTCTCAACACTTGGCTTAAATATTCAATAAAACATTGTGTAAACAGATATGCTATCTAAGCTATATTTTTCTGTTTATAGAACACAAGCAGAGTAGGTTTAGTGTAATTATTTAGGGCCCTAGGACTTTTGGAATAGTAAAGGAGCATTGGTTTCGACTTAAGTCACCAGCTGCATTAGCCCCTAACAAAAGAGGCGCCCTGTCCTTTGAAACTTTGAAGCCAGCTATTGCCCTCCCTCTCTAGCTGTGAGAGTCCCAGATGGATCTTCTTCCAATAGAATGTCGTTTCATCTACACTGAAAAATCTGTTGTTTAATGTAGCCTCCTTCATCAATTATTTTGGCTGGATCTTTTGAATAATTTGCTACAGCCTTTACGCCAGCACTTGAAACTTCCTCTTGAACTTTTAGGTTATGGAGATGGCTTTTTTCCTTAAACTTCATGAACCAGCTTCTGCTACCTGCAAACTTTTCTTCTGCAGATTCCCCACCTCTCTCAGCCTTTATGGCTTTATAAAACTGGAGAGTTAGGGCCTCGATCTAGATTAGGCTTTGGTTTAAAACAATGTTGTGATTGGTTTGATCTATTCAGATCACTAAGTTGTTTTCCATATTAGCAATATGGCAGTTTCACTTTATTATTCATGTGTTTCACTGGAGTAGCACTTTTAATTTTCTTCAAAAACTTTTACTTCACATTTGCAACTTTGGTAACAGTTTGGCATAAGAGACCTAGTTTTTTTTACTTGTATCAATGTTTGACATTATTTCTTCACTGAGCTTAATCATTTCCATCTTTTGATTCAAAGTAAGAGATAGATATATTTTTCTTTCATTTGAACACTTAAAGGCCATTGTAGGGTTGTAATTGTCCTAATTTCAATATTGTTCTGTTTCAGGGAGTAGGGAGGTTTGAGGAGAAGGGAGGAGAAGAGAGACAAGCCACTGAATGGATCAATTGGAACACAAACAACTTGATCAATTAAGTTTGCCATCTCACAGGACTGCAGTTTGGGTTCCAAAATAACTCAATAGTAGCATTAAAGATCACTGATCACAGATCACCATGACAGATATAAAAATAATAATGATTTTCAATGTTGTGGGAATTATTAATGTGACACAAAAATATGAAATGAGCACTTCCTATTGGAAAAATTGTGCCATTAGACTTACTCAATGCAGAAATACTAAAGAGTTTCGATTGTAAATATCTGTGAAGTACAATAAAGCAAAGTGCTGTGAAACAAAGTATACCTACAGCAATCAATGCCTACATCAAAAAAAAAAAAAAAGACTTCAAAAAAAAGATGAATCAAACCTAATGATCCATCTCAAGGAAATAGCAAAACAAAAACAAACTAAACCCAAAAGTAATAGAAAGAAATAATAGTAATCAGGGCAGAAATAAATGAAATTGAGACTAAAAAAATGCAAAAGATCAATGAAGAGTGAATTTTTGAAAAGATAAATAAAATTGGCAAACCTCTAGCTAGACTAAGAGGAAAAAAAAAAAAAGACTCAAATAAATCAGATACAAAAAAAGAACTGATACCACAGAACTACAATGGATCAAAAGAGAGTACTAGGATCACGTATATGCCAACAAATTGAATAATGAAGAAATAATAAATTAATTTCTAGACATATACAACCATCAGATATTGAATAATAAGGAAACTGAACAGACTAGTAAACAATGAGGAAATTGAATCAGTAATTTAACATCTCCCATCAAAGAAAAGCAGAGGACCTGATGGCTTCACTATTGACTTCTACTAAACATTTAAAGAAAAACAGAAAAACTAATACCAGTTACTTCAATGTCTTCAAGAAAATTGAAAAGGATGGAATGTTTTCAAACTCTTTCTACAAATCCAGCATTACCTTGATTCCAAAACCACACAAGAACACACCAAAAGAGAAAAACTACAGGTCAATATATCCCTGATGAACATAGATTTAAAAAATCCTCAACCAAATACTAACAAATAAAACTCAACAGCATATTAAAAAGCTATCCATTATGTTCAAATGGAATTTATTCCAGGAATGAAAGGATGGTTCAACATATGCAAATCAATACATGTGAAACATTCCATAACATAATGAAGAACAAAATCCATATAATCAATTCAATAGATGCAGAAAAAGCATTTGGCAAAACTCAACATCCCTTTATAATTTTTAAAAAACTCAAAAAATTATATATAGAATGTATGTACCTCAATACAATTAAAACCGTATATAAAAATCCTAAAGCTAATATCATTCTCAATGGGGACAAGTTGAAAACTTTTCCTCTAAGATCTGAAACAAGACAATATGCCCACTTTCACTGCTTCTTTTAAACATATTACTGGAAGTTCCCGTAAGGAAGAGAAAAAAATAAAAGATATCCAAATTGGAGAGAAAAAAGTCAAATTGTTCTGATAACAGATGAAATGATTATATATGTATAAAGCCCTAAGAAGTTCACAAAAAAAAAGTTAGTACTAATAAATTAAATTTGTAAAGTTGAAGGATATAAAATCAACATATAAAATCAGTAGTACTTGTATATATGTATAGTGAACTATCTAAAAAATAATTTTAAAAAAATTTTGTTTATAATAGCTAAAAAACTATAAAGTACCTAGGAATAATTTTACCATTAAGGTGTAAAGAAACTACACTAAAAAACGACAAAACATTGATGAAAGAAATGGAAGAGGATGCAAATAAGTAAAAATATATCTGATGTATATAGATTTAAAGAATTAATATTGTTGAAATGTCCACATTACCCCAAGTTATCTACAGATGTGATGAAATATCTATCAAAATACCAGTGACTTTTTAATCCTAAAATTTGCATGGAATTACAAAAATCCTGAATAAATAAAGCAATCTTGAGCAAAAAGCAAAATAGAGGCATTACACTATGTGACTTCAAATATACTACAAAGCTCTAGTAAATAACACACTATAATATTGACATTAAAACAGACACATAAACCAATGAAACAAAACAAAGAACCCAGAAATAAATCCACATGCCTACAGCCAACTAATTTTTGACAAAGGTACCAAGAACACACAATGAGGAAAGGACAATCTCTTCAATAAATGGTGGTGGGAAAAGTGGATGTCCACATGCAGAAGAATAAAGCCTGACCCTATCTTTTACCATACACAAAATTTAACTGAAGTTGGATTAAAGACTTAAATGTAAAACCTGAAACTACTAGAAGAAAACAGGTGAAATGCTTCATAACATTGGAATGGACAAAGATCATTTTAATAAGACTTCAAAAGCATAGGCAAAAAATGACAAGTAGACAATGGGATTACATCAAAATGCAAGTCTTCTGCACTTCAAAGGAAACACGCAACAACATGAAGAGACAACCTACAAAATAGGAGAATATATTTGCAAACCATACGTCTGACAAGGGGATGATATTCAAAATATATAAGGAACTCAAACAACTCAAAAGCAAAAAAAGAAAAAATTTAACCCAAATAATCCTATTTAAAAATGGACAACAGTCCTTAACAGACATTTCTCAAAAAGACATGCAAATGGTCAACTAATATATGAAAATTGCTCAATATCACTAATCATTTCAGAAATGCATATCAAAATCATAATAACATATCACCTTACTCCAGTTAAAATGACACTAGTAAAAAGACAAAATAAATGTTGGCAAGGAAGTGGAGAAAAGGAAACCCTTAACACAATGTCAGTGGGAGTGTAAATTAGCATAGCCACTCTGGAAAGCAGTATAGAGGTTACTCAAAAAGCTAAAAATCAAACTACCGTATGATCCAGCAATCTTACTACTGCATCTATATCCAAAGAAAATGAAATCAGTTTGTCAAAAAGATAGCTGTAGTCTCATCTTTATTCCAGACTATTCACAATAGCCAATCTATGGAATCAGCCTACATATCCATTAGTAGATAAATAGATTTTAAAAATGTGATATATATACACAATGGGATACCAGTCAGCCATACAAAAAAATAAAAAATAAAATCCTGTTATTTGCAACATAAATAAATCTGGAAGACATTGTGTAAAGTAAAATAAGACAGAGTCAGAAAGGCAAATATCGTATGATCTCACTCATATGTGAACTCTAAAAAGTTAATCTCATAAAAGCAGAGAATAGAACAATCTTTAACAGAGACTGGGGAAGGGGGAATGAAAAGAAATTGATCAATGGGTACACAGTTACAATTAACTAGGAGAAATCAGTCCTGGTGTCCTATTGCACAGTAGGGTGACTATGGATAATGACGTATACTGTACATTTTAGAATAACTAAAAGAGAGAATTTCAAACATCCTGACTACAAAGATATAATAGTTTCAGGTGAAGAATATTCTAATTATCCTGATTTGACTATTGTATAACATACATATGTATTGAAACATCACATTGCACCCCACAAATGTGTGCAATTATCATGTATAATTAAAACTTTAAAGAAATGATTTTTAAAAGATGCTTTGTAAAATTTTAGTTTTTTTAATGTATTGAGACTTGTTTTGGGGTGTATCATATAGTCTATACTAGACAAAGTTCCATGTGCACTTCAGAGAAATATGTATTCTGCTGTTGTTGTGTGGGGTATGTTACAAATACCTGTTAAATATAGTTCATTTTTAGTGGTGTTTACTTCCCCTATTTCTCTATTAATCTTCTGTCTAGTTGTTCTATCAATCTTTGAAAGTGGGATATTGACATCTCCAACTATTATTATAATAAAACTATTTCTTCTTTCAATTCTGTCCATATTTGCACATGTATTTTGAAGCTTTCTTGTTTCATGCAGATATGTTTAAAATTGCTATAACTTCTTAATAGATTGACCATATAATCGATATACTACACTCCTGTCTCTTATAAAAGCTTTGTATTTAAGATCTATCTTGTCTTATATTAATAAAGTGACCCATGGTTTCTTTTATTTAATATTTACATGAAAATTTTTTCATCCTTTTGCTTTTTATCACTTTGTGTCTTTGTATCTAAAAGAATTTCTTATACATAGCATACAGTTGGATCATGTGTTTCTATCCAATCTGACAATCTTTGTCTTTGGATTGGAGATGTTAATCTATTAACATCTAAAGTAATTACTGTTGAGGAAGAATCTACTGCTGTCATTTAGCTGTTTATTTTATTTATGTCCTATATGTTTTGTCCCTAATTTCCTTAATTACTTCTTTTTCCTGTTTAGTTGATTTTTCACAGTTAATCATTCTGATTATCTTCTCATTTCCTTTCTGATATACTTTTTAGGGTTTTTGTAGCTATCATAGGATTACATTTAACATTCTAAATTTAAATCAATCTATTTTGAATTAATATCCACTTAACTTTAAAAGCATTAAAAAACTAACAAACAAACAAACAAAAATCTCTTTTCCTAAATATTTCCATTCTTTATGATGGTGTTGTCACAAATTACATCTTAATACATTGTGTGCCCAAAAACTTATACGTATAATTGGTGCATTTAAAAAAATCCTGTTGGGAATAAAATGCAAAATAAACAAATATACAATAATACTTGCTTTTGCTTGTAGTTTACCTTATTGAAGATTTTTATTCCTTTACACAGTTTTCAGTTACTATCTAATTTCCTTGCATTTCAACATGAAAGGTTCCCTCTAGTATTTCTTGAATGGCAATTCTAGTAACCATGCAATTGAATTTCCTCAAATTTTGTTTTTCAAAAAATGACTTAATTTCTCTATCATTTTGAAGGATATTTTTGCCAGGTATATAAATCTTGTTTAATTGTTGTTGGTTTTTTGGTTTTTTTTTTTTTTTTCAGCAATAGAATAAGTTATTCTACTGTCTTCTGACATCCATATATTTTTAAATTTGTTATAAATCTTATTGAGAATTGCTTATAAATAAGAAGTTGTTTCTCTCTGATTTTCATATCCTTTGTTTTTTGCTTTTAAGAATTGGATTACAATATGTCTTCATGTGGATATCTCTGAGTATATGTTTGGAGTTCATTGAGATTCTCGAATGTTTAAATTCCTATTTTTCACCAAATATACAAAAATTTTATCTTTTTTTTTTGAGATAGAGTCTCACTCTGTCACCCAAGCTGGAGTGCAGCACCACGATCTCGGCTCACTGCCGATCTCCTCCTCCCAGGTTCAAGTGATTCTCCTGCCTCAGCTTCCTGAGTGGTTGAGATTACAGGTGCACACTACCATACTAGACTAATTTTTGTAGTTTTAGTAGGATGGGGTTTCTCCATGTTGGCCAGGCTGGTCTCGAACTCCTAACTTCAGGTAATCTGCCCACCTCAGTCTCCCAACATGCTGGAATTACTGGTGTGAGCCACCATGCCTGGCCAGTTTTTTTCTAATATTCTTTACGCTCCTTCTCTTTCTTATCTTTCTCAGATATTCATCAGGCACATGTTAGTTCTTTCATAGTGTCCCACAAGACTCTTAGGCTATGTTTTATTCTTTTTTATTCCTTCTTTTTTCCTTTCAATCCCTCCCCCCAAAAATTACTAATTTTGAATGGCCTGTCTTCAAGTTTCCTAATTCTTTCTTCAACCTATTCAAGGCTGTTTTTGAACTCCTCTAGGAAATTTTTCATTTTTGTTATTGTGTTTTTCAGCTCTAAAATTCCTATTTAGTTATTTTTAGAATCTGTATTTCTTTGTTGACATCCTAATTTTGTTCATGTATTTTATTAGTTTTTAATGTATGTATTAGTTTTATCATGATTCAGTTTAATATTCTATGCTCTCTTTTATCTCATTAACCATTATTTAAAAATTATTTAAAAGCCTTTGTTAAATTAGTACATCCATTATAGAAAATAGTGTAAAGGATTTTTTTTAATTATGAATAGAACTACCAATATGATCTAGCAAAACACTCTGTTGACATTATATCCAACGGCAGTAAAATCAGCACCTTGTAGAGATATGTGCTTTCTAATGTTCATTGCAGCATTACTGACAATAATCAAGATATGAAAACAAACTAAGTGTCCATCAACAGATGAATGAAAAAACAAATTGTATGGTGCATGTGGCATGCATATATATCATACATGAAATATAATTGAAATAGTATTGAGCCTTAAAGAGAAGGAAATACTATAATTTGCAACAACATGGATAAACATGGAGAACCTTATGTTAATTGAAATGAGCCAGACCCAGAGAGAAAAAATGCTATGTAATCTCATTTATGCATAGAATCTAAAAACAAGTTGAATAAATAAAAGTAGAGGGTAGAATGATGATTACTGGGTCAGGTAGAAGAGAAGAAATGGGGAGAAGAAAAAGGGTACAAATTTGAAGTTAGGTAGTAACATGGCTTGGATGCTTTGTGCCCTCCAAATTCTATTTTTAGTTTTCTGAGTGTAAGGCCAGTTGCTTCGTCAGCAACTCTCCTGGAGTCAATCAGAGCACTCAGCTGTTGCTCGCTCCTAGCCATAAAAACCCCACACCCCAGGAAGTTGGTGCGACTTCCCTGGCCCCTTTACCCGGGACCATGGAACCTCGCCTGGGAGCTAAATAAATTGGCATTTAATTTTCTTATACTGGCCTCAGTTTCCTCATTTTAAACGCGTCAATAACCCTTACACTGAGAAACCTCCATACAGTTTTTTATAATGGCTGCACAAATTTGCCTTCCTCTCAACAGAGTGCAAGGGTGCCCTTTTTTCCACATTCTTACCAACAGCTATCTTTTATCTTTTCGATAATAACTATTCTAACAGGTATGTGATGCTATCTCCTTGTGGTTTTAATTTGTGCTTCCCTGATGATTGGATGATTGGTGATGTTTACTTTTTTATGTATTCGTTGGCCATTTGTATGTATTCTTTTGAGAAATTTCTATTTGGTTCCCCTGCTCATTTTTGATGAGATTATTTGTTTTATTTTTAGAGTTGCTTGAGTTCCTTAAACATTTTGGATATTTTCTTATCAGATACATGGCTTGCAAATATTTTGTTTCAAGTTTTAGGTGGTCTTTTCACTGTGTTAACTTTTCCCTTGTTGTGCAGAAGCTTTTTGTTTAGATGTAATCCCGTTTGGCTGTTTTTGCTTTTATTGCCTGTACTTTGGGAGTCAAATCTATACAATAATTGTTCATACCAATTTCAAGTAGTTTTTCTTCACTTTTTAAAGAAGTTTCATGGTTTCAGGCCTTAGGCTTAAGTATTGAATTTATTTTGAGATGACTTTTGTATATGGTGTGAGATAAGGTCCAATTTTTTTTCTTCTGCATCTGGATATCTTGCTTTCCTAACACCATTTAGTGAAGATATTGTCCTTTTTCTGTTGTGTATTCTAGGACCCTGTGTCAAAAACCAACTGACCACACATTCATAGGTTTATTTCTAGGCTCTCTATTCCATTCCACCTGTTGACATGGAATACAAAACAATCAAATTCATAGAAGCAGGGTGTTGAATGGTGGTTACTAGAGGCTGGATGTCTGGAGGAATTAAGAGATAATGTTCAAAGTGTACAAAGTCTGGCAGGGTGCAGGGGCTCATGCCTGTAATCCCAGCACTTTGAGGGGCTGAGGCAGGTGGATCACCTGAGGTCATGAGTTCGAGACCAGCCTGACCAACATAGAGAAACACTGTCTCTATTAAAAATACAAAATTAACTGGGCATAGTGGTGCATGCCTGTAATCCCAGCTACTTAGGAGACTAAGGTAGGAATCCATTGAACTGGGGAGGCAGAATTTGCAGTGAGCCCAGATTTCACCATTGAACTCTAGCCTGGGCGACAGAGCAAGATTCTATCTTAAAAAAAAAAAGTGTACAAAGTCTCAGACAGGAGAAATACGTTTAATTTTTTAAAAAGTATTTATTGCATGGCATGGTAAATATGGTAAATAATAGCATATTCTGCATTTCAAACTGGCTAAAGGAGTAAACTTAAAATGTTATATCTGCAAAAAATGATAATTATTTGAGGTAATAATACGTTAATTAGTTTGACTTACTTATTCTGCATTATATACATAAATTATGACATCACTTTGTCCTCCACAAATATATACAACTGTAATTTGTCAATTCATAATAAAATAATATAAAATGTCACAAATATATACAACTGTAATTTGTCAATTCATAATAAAATAATATAAAATGTGTATTCTGTACACAGCATAGAATTGGGCCACTTTTATGCAGTCTGCCAATTTTTGCCTTTTAGCTGAAGTGATTAAATCATTTGCATTTAGTATAATTAGATTTCATTAAATTATATAAAATTTGCTACATCTAAAAATGTATAAATATGCCACAAAATTATACACACACATATATATGTATATACATACCACAAAATTACACATAATAATTTAACTCAGTTTAAATTTTTCTGCTATTTGTTTTCTCTTTGGTCCATATGTTATTTGTATGTTTATTTTCCCCCCTTCCGTACCCTCTTTAAATTATTTGAGTCTGGACACAGTGGCTTAAACCTGTAATGCCAGTGGTTTGAGGGACTGAGGTGGAAAAATCACTTGATGCCAGAAGCTTGAGACCAGCCCAACCAACATAGTGTGACACTGTCTCTATAAAAACTTTAAAAATTAGTCAGGCATGCTGGGTGTAGTACTAGCTACTTGGGAGTCTGAGACAGGAGGATCTCTTGAACCCAAGAATGAGCTGTAATGAGCTATGATCTACACTCCAGCCTGGGCACCAGAGCAAAACCCTGTCTCTAAACAAATAAACAGAAGGATAGACAGATGATTGATAGATAGATAGATAGATAGATAGATAGATAAAGTTTTTAAAAAATCTCTTTAACTCTACTACTCACTTATTAACTACATTTTATTTTTCTCTTTCTTCCTTCCACCATTCCTTCCTTCTTTTCCTTCTTTTCTCCCTTTCTCTCTTTTTTCTCTCTCCTTCTTTTTTCCTTTCTTTTGCTATTCACAGTAGCAAAGTCATGAAATCAACCTAAATTCTCATCAATGGTAAATTGAACAAAGAAAACGTGATCCCTACACACTATGAAATACTATGCAGCCATAAAAAACAACAAGATTATATTCTTTGCAGCAACATGGATGGAACTGGAGACCATTATAAGCAAACTAACACACGGGCAGAGAACCAAATACCACATATTCTCACTTACAAGTAGAAGCTGAACATCAAGTACTTATGGACACAAAGAAGAAAGAAAACACCAATGCCTACTTGAGAGTAGAGAGTTGGAGGAGGGTGAGGATTAGAAAAAATTAGCTATGGAGCACTGTGCTTATTATCTGGATGATGAAATAATCTGTACACCAAGCCCTTACAACACACAATTTGCTTATATAGCAAACCTGCACGTGTACCCCTAAACCTAAAATAAAAGTTTTTTTTTAATGGAAAATATGGTGTACACACACACACCATGGAATACTACTCAGCCATAAAAAATGGTGAAATAATGTCTTTTTCAGAAACTTAGATGGAACTGCAGGCCATTATTCTAAGTGAAGTAATGAATTAGTCAAAAACCAAATACCACATATTCTCACTTTCAAGTGGGAGCTAAGCTACAGGCACAAAAAGGCATGCAGAGCAGTGTAATGAACATTGGAAACTCTGAAAGAGAGCATGTGGGAGGGAATTAAGGGTTGAAAACTACTTATTGGGTACGACGTACAATATTTGAGTGATGAATGCACTACAATTTCTGACTTCACCACTGTACAATCCTTCCATGTAACCAAAAACCACATGTACCCGTAAAACTATAAAAATTTTAAATTAAAAAAAATTAAAAAGGTCTTCAGAATTGAAAATTTTTCTTCATATAAAAATATATTTTATTTGCCTTTATTTTTGGACAATATGGTTACTAAATGGAGAATATTAAATGATATTTAAAATTTTTCCATACTTCAAGGGCATGTTTCCATCATCTTCTAGATTGCATAATTTCTGAGAAATCTACAATTGTGTTTATTTTTATTCCTCTCTAACTATATATCTTCTTTCTTTGGATACGTAAGATTTTCTCTTTATAATGGATTTTTAGTAAGTTAATTATTGTGTGCCTCGGTGTGGACTACTTTGCATTTATGTCGGTTGTTTGTCAAGCTTTTCTGTAGGCTTTTAGTTTTCATCAAGTTGGAACAAATTTTTCGTTGTTATGTCTTTAAATACTTATTCTCACTCCCACATGCTCTTCTTCTCAGGCCTCAATTACACAAATTCTAGGTTCTTTGATATTATTCCATAAGTTACAAAGGTTTTTTAAATTATTTTTATTATTTCTCCACTCTGCTTCATTTTACAGTAAAGTATATTGCTTTCACAGGCATTTTCACTTGTAACATTGAATATAGTTTATCCCTCAGTTGTACTTTAGATTTCAGAAAAAAATATATTTTCTTTTGTATTTCTGGTTGTCTCTTTTCTTATTATGTTCATGCCTGCTTTAAGATCCATAGCACATTAATATTTATAAGAGCTCTTTTAACCCAGTTATGCTGGAAGTTGCAATTTTTGGAATTGAAAAATTAGACCTTGGCAATGACCTTGAGCAGTAAAATATGAATAATTCTCACATGCTTAGCGTTCCAATAATGGAACACTAGGCATAATGAGTTAAGCTCTTCATCTGATGATATAATACTATCTGCTGTTTCTAGATCTTTTTCTAGTAACTAAGTTTTCACCTAGTTATCCAAAATTTGCTACATCTGTGCATATTTAATAATTATTTATTTATTTACTTATTATAGACAGAGTCTCATTCTGTTGCCAGGCTGGAGTGCAATGGCTCGATCTTGGCTTACTGAAACCTTCACCTCCTAGGTTCAAGTGATTCTCCTGCCTCAGCCTCTCAAGTAGCCAGGACTACAAGCAATTGCCACTGCACCCGGCTAATTTCTGTATTCCTAGTAGGGATGGGGTTTCACCATGTTGGCCACGTGGTCTCAATCTCTTGACCCATGATCCACCCACCTCAGCCTCCCAGACTGCTGGGATTACAGATGTGAGCCACCGTGCCCAGCCTATATTTGTATTTATTAATACAAATGCTGAACATTGTGAGTGCTATGTTGTTGAGAGTTCAGAATTAGCTGCATGACTATAAAGGGTGATTATGTTTGTTTTACCAGGAAATAAAGTGATCTTTTGACCATGTCAATCTATTCTGTGCCTGTTTATAGGTTTTGTAAAGGCAAGTCAACAATAGCCTTTACTCTAAGATTAATTAAGCCTTATTATTAAGTGATAATTTTGTGATCTGTCTTTATTGCTCAGTGTCTTCAAAGTGGTTTATCTCTTCTAGTCATATAGAATTAAAACATCCCCCAAGACTACATTAATTCTAGAAATTGTTTACTTTGTAGCTCCCCAGATTTTTGTGGTGTTTGTTTTGGCTGATCTCATGGAATTTCTATATTTGCATGTGGAGATTAGCATCTAGCCAAATATAAAAGAATACCACCCACAAGAACGTCTGAAACTCTTTCTGTATATATTTCTTTTCTTTGGTAATGTGTCCCACAAATGTCATCCACCTCAGCCTCCCTGAACTTTGTTCTCTGTCCATCCAACTCAGCAAGACTCTTTTATTCTGTGTAGGTTGCGCCACCCTTGGTGGGGGTCCAGGAAAAGCCTTCAAGTATAAAGCTGGGGTATTCTTAGAGCTGACCCATTGGTTTTTCTCCCTTCTGGGCAATTATGTGCCATTTCAAAACTTTCTAGCTTTTTCATGGCAAAGAATAAACCTGATCCTGATTCCTCCTTCAGGGGCCAAAGCAGAAAACTATGCTGAGGATTCTAGAATTAATTAATGTGCAAAGTAATGCCAATGGTTAGTATATTGAATGTGAAGTGTTTGTGAGATATCCACTTGAAAATAATTACAAGTAATTGGATATTTAACAATTCATGAGAGTGATTTGGGCAGGATATATATTTGGAGAATCACTTTCACGGACCTGAAAATTCATGGCAGAGGAGTAGAAATGAGAACAATTATAGTCAAGTGATGGGTGCATTATATAAATTGCTGGTGTTAATGAGTATTGAAAAGTGAAGGAATCGTGGCTACATTTTGCCAATTAAATTTTGCAAGAAGAATATGCATTTGATGATGCAGGAGATAGCAGTTTGGAAGAAAACATGCCCTTCCCAGTTATAAATCATTCAAATTAGTAACTATCTATTTTCCTTGCTTCAGATTACAGAATCCTTAAATTAAGGAGCTCATTCTTGGTTTTTATGACTATGTTGCTTTAGAGCAGCCAGGCTAGGAAAAAAACAGATGAATAAATTGAGAAAAACTAAAACCACATTCAAACTAAGCAGAACTCCAATGATATAGACGTGCACAATCCATATATAGGAATTTGAAATACTTTGGGAAAGTATAAATTATCATTGAGAATCAACTTTAAGATATAGGAAAAATATAATAACCAGCAACAGCCAAAAATCAGTGGGCTATAGACATATATCTGCCTTTCTTTCTTTGACTATTAATATAAATGTATCACTTACTAGCACTACAGATTTTCTTAGAGTCCAGACTCTATGATTAGTATGAAAATCAAGGCCAAATTATAACAGGTTAATCAAATGAAGACAACCATGTATTAAGTTAGTGTCAGAGCCTGAATTACATGGAACACATCCTTCTGACGTCTAGTCCAGGACTCTTTTCCTTGAGTAGAAATGCGCCCACAACTGGCTTCCTGCTCACTGAGCAGTTTCTCATTCTTCCTGAGTACACAGTTATGCTAAATCCCTGGCTTTACGTGAAGTTAGATGATTTCATCTGTCCTTCCAGGTCTGCATGTTAAACCCTCCCACAGAGTGCTGTTCTCTGTCTTCCCCTTTTCTACGGGCACCTATGAAACCCCAAAACAGTCCTAGGAGCCACATGTCACAGTTGCAGGGCATCTGTCAGTCTGTATCCTCTGCAACTGTGAGGTGCTTCCTTTCTTTCCTACCACTGTCATTTCTACTTTATGCAAAGGAAAACTATTGTGTTAAGTCACTGAGATTTAGGGATTTATCGTCCACAGTAGCAAGTACTGCCTTAATTAATGAAGGTCTATAACATTGTATAAAATAATCATCTGAGAACATGTTTTAAAATTAATTTTAATTGGTATTTTAAGTTCCAGGGTACATGTGTAGAATGTACAGGCTTGTTACATAGGTAAACAGGTGCCATGGTGGTTTGCTGCACCTATCAACCCATTGCCAAGGTATTAAGCCAGCATGCATTAGCTATTTTTCCTAGCGCTTTCTATTACAAAGACACATGCACACGTATGTTCATTGCAGCACTATTCACAATAGCAAAGACATAGAATCAACCCAAATGTCCATCAATGATAGACTGTATAAAGAAAATGTGGTTCATATATACCATGGAATACTATATAGCCATAAAAAGAAACAAGATTATGTCCTTTGCAGGGACATGGATGAATCTGGAAGCCATTATCCTCAAAAAACTAACACAGGAACAGAAAACCAAACACAGCATGTTCTCACTTATAAATGAAAGAATGTTTTAATAGGCTATGAATAGATGCCACTGGACACAGATGTAAAGAAGGGCAGACTCATAAGAAACACTCTTCTTCGCTTTCCCCTCATGCCTATCTAAATTAAAGGGAGATGAGCTCAGTAAGGGATGGTTTTTCTACAATCTAGGGTAAAATCTGTAATCTTCAGTAAGTACACAGGGGGTGCTAATATTGGAATAGAAAGCTAAGTCAAAAACTATACAGGAAAGCATAAGTTTGGACTTGGAAGGAAAGGCCCTGGGGGAAACAGACAAGGACAAGCAAAAGTGTAAATGTGATAGGAGGGGTGAACTAAATGATTTCTCTTACAAAAGAGAAGTTACCAGGGTCTTAAACTTTTCTTGATGAGCTATATGAGGCATGGTACACAGGAGGGATTTGTTTCATTGTCCCATTCTAGAGAAAAGATACCTGTAACATAATTTGATGTTATGATAGTGTCATAACACTATCTCCTTTCTTCTGAAAACAGCCTTTGAGATCTAGTATCCATCATCTTAGCCCATTATAAAATGAGCCATCTATTCTCATTAGCAACCAGTCCTAGTCACTCAATACCACCCAAGGAAGCCGCTTAAGACAAACTACAGAAAAGGATGGTATGAACTGAGCTACCACGTTCATTTTTCCTTGTATTGGAATTTGCTCACCTAATTTCATTGTCTCCCCTAACACAGCAATCTATTTGGGTTCATTGACTGGTCTGGATTTACACAGGATATTTGAAAGATAAAGGTCAGGTACACAGCAGACTGCTAGAATCGCATTTATTAACCACAGTCTCCCTGCACCCCCAGCCCCCATGGCCTCACTGACTTTTTGCATCATCAGTGTTATCTGGAGCATGAGAGCAGTAAATTTAATGTGGCAGAACATGAAACAAGAGCCAAGAATCAAGCCATAGATTAGTGATAGACGATGCCAAGTTCAACCTTATTAGCCTTTGAAAAACCACACTGCTCTGCCAAAGCCAGTTTCTAAACCTTGTTATATACAGAGCACCTAGATGGTCCAATTGCTGCCGGTTTTAATCAGAGGATGACAAAGAGGCAATTAGATGTGGCTTGGAGATGAAGATGAAGTCCTTCCTCCAGGGGATTTGCTGCTGGCTGAGATTCCAGCCTAAGAAGCTTTAAAAATTCTATCTTGACTCTCAGCCTCGAGCCTTGCTAATTTTATACCACCAGCCTTCAGACTTTTATTTTTTTTAAAGATTCACATGTATGTATTCATAAAGCAAGGCATCTTCAAGAAAGAAAATGTCAAAAGTAGCTCCGGTGTGAAGAAGGGAGCTGCTTGTTCTCCATTAGCTTCATCAAACTGTAACTTTGACTGCTGCCCTTCGAGGAAAGGCTCCTCTTAGGAGGTAAACAATAGATGTAGCAAGGACCTATCACAGGACGCAGGCTCTGTGCAATATGGACAGTGTTCAGCCATTACCACCATGGTGTCTGGACTCAATTTGATGATCTTTCTCTGGATTAGTACTGTGAGAAGTGGCAAACTATTTAAGGGGTCAGAGGAAGATGTTGGGAGATCCTGAGGACTGGCTCAATATTATAAAGCCCGAAAGCTGAAGAAACAAGGAGGGTTACCCAATATGCCAAAAGGCAGCATAATTGAGGTAGATCACGAAACGAATTCTCTAGAAGACTAGAACATGCCTTGCAGCAAGATAATATTGTGTCTCAAGTCCATGAGGCGAGGAGGGGCTGGAAAGGCAATATTTATACAGAATTCAAAATTAATTGCATCTAACACCTGATTCTATTTTATTTCCTATCCAAACGATCCTCTTAATACTAGCTTAAAAACAGTACTGGATAAACAAAAATTTTGTCCTCGCCGCATATTGGATGCTGTGGAGCAACTAAAGTGAGAAAGATAAAGTCATTAGGTGATAGGAATAGAAGAAACTCAAGGGCAAATCATACACAGATGTTCAAAATCATACATCAGAACTGCATGTTCGGATGTTAGGAGCAGAACCAGAGAAGAAAGAAGCCTAGAATATTCAAAGAACAAGGGGACCCTGGTGCAGTGCTTGGAGTTAATGAGTTAATATGGGCTTCCTGGAGCGGCAGCATTTGCATCACCTGAGGGGCTGCTTAAGGTGCAGAAACTTGGGCTCAACTCTACTTGCCAAGGCAGACTAAAATGCAGTCTGTTTTAAAGGGCTATTAGGATTTGGCAGTCACAGCACTTAGGATCTGCATCAGAAGGAGCTCAGCCAGTCTGACCTCATAAGCAAGGGAAGACAGCAGTCTTTGCCTTTAGGCCAAAAAACTATAGTTTTAGAAAAGAAAATGGGTTGCCCTGCTGGACAAGACTTAAGGTTTGAGATAGAAGCAGAGTTTTGGTAAAGAGAAACCAAGAAAAACTGTCCTGCTCAGGCGGAATTACATTCAAGAGTGTATGCCTTTCCCACACAGCCTGTCCCAAGCTGCCTGCTCCGGGTCTGCACAACCTGAAGGGAATCCTCCTTGTCCACATGACTCAATCCCTTGTGAAGAACCACAGCCAGCTGTGGGGAAACAGGCCTACACAGCTCCAAAGATAACCAGGGCCAGCTGTCTTTACCAATTTACAGTCATAAAAAGACAACCAAATTTCATCGCATGTGAGTAAAGTAAGCATTGTAAAAAGAATTTATAATGAAGACACCTAACAACTACCGTGGCATGGACTGTAAAAGCGTGAAACTCTGCTAGCCAGAAACATGCGGAATGGCCACACTGGGGCCAAACAGCTGAGTGTTATTTACAACCTTGGAATTGAACAGCCAAATTCAGTGCCGCTCAACATTCAGCCTGCATCAGAATCACCCAGCGAGATGGTTAGAACACAAATTGCTGGATCCTGTGCCAGAGACCCTAATTCCATAGGTAGGGGAAATTTGCATTTCTCTCAGAGTCCCAGCTGAGACTGGTGCTGTGGGCCCAAGGAGGTCATATTGAGAAAGAACCACTGGCCAAGGGATAAAGCTGAGAATTGGCCCAGCAGCAAAAATAGTAATTATTCAGGAGATAGATGGACGTTTAAAAAAATGGATCAGGGCTGGAGACAAAATAAAGCCTGTTTCAACTTTAAAATAAGCAGTAGCTGTAAAAATAAATAGTAAACAACAAATGAATATAAAGTATTTTTGCCAAGTAAGTGGTTTAAAAAAAAACCAAATATCTGAACAATAAATTAGACACAAAGAAAACTAAATTGGTGACCTAAGAGAGAAAACTTAGGCATTTTCTCATAATATGCAACACCAATGCAAAACTATAGAATATGTAAGATAAAAAGCTGAAAGATGTACAGACCATTCCAGGGGATCAAAAGTTATATGACATAAAAATAGAGACAGGGGCCAAGTTCAGTGACTCACACCTGTAATCCCAGCACTTTGGGAGGCCGAGGCAGGCAGATCACGAGGTCAGGAGTTCGAGACCAGCCTGGCCAACATGATGAAACCCTGTCTCTACTAAAAATGCAAAAAGAATGCTGGGCATGGTAGTGAGCACCTGTAATCCCAGCTACTCGGGAGGCTGAGGCAGGAGAATTGGTTGAACCCAGGGGGCGGAGGTTCAGTGAGCCAAGATCGCACCATTGCAGTCCAGCCTGGGAGACAGGGCAAGACCCTGTCTCCAAAAAAAAAAAAAAAAAGAGAAAAAGAGAAATAAGTTTTAAAAGAAAATAAGTTGCCTGTAATATGACGGATCATGAGTTTTGGAGCTAACAATGGCCGTTATGCACTAAGAAGAATGAATTTTTTAAAGAACTGTGTATAAATATATCCTTCTTTTGAATAGCTGAAACTTCGTAGCCCTTGGCTAACTTTCCCCCACCTCCCACTCCACAATGTGGCTATAGTTAACCATTGTATTGTTTACTTGAAGTCTGCTAAGAAGGGAGATCTTAAGTGTTCTCATCAAAAGAAAAGAAGAAAATGGTAACTATCGGAGGTGATTGAAATGTTGATTAGTTAGCATGTTTGTGGTGAGCATTTCACAATGTATATGTATTTCAAATCATAAAAATACACCTTAAACATATATAATTTTACTTACCAAATATACTTGCATTTAAAAACTTTAAAATATTTAATTAAGATATTCTTGTTTATTCTTGAATAGAAGGATAAAGTTAACTTTTTGAAAAGTTATCATCAAGGAACAAAATATCTAATCTGAAAAATAAACAAAATCACATTAATGTAGGACTTCTCTTTAGCGCCTCTTACAACGAGAAGACAGTGGGAATATATTGCCAAAATTTGGAGAGAACGTCACTTTAACTACAGAAGTCCTTACCCAGGCAAATGAGCATCCAAGTATAAGCACAAAATTAAAATCATTTCCAGGCAGACAGGACCCCAGAAAATTAACCAGCTACACATCCCCACCAAAGGATTATTTAAGAATATGCAGGTAAAACAAACAAAAAACAAAACTGAATCCAATGAAATGAGTGAAGTGTGAAATACAAGAAACTCGCACACAGGCCCAATATGTCCTAAAGTAGGGAATGAGGAATGTGGTCACCTCAAGGGGTGTGGCAGGCTGTAAATAATTAGACATTATCGGAATCACAATTGGAAAACTGGAGCCAGAACTGTTTCAACATGGAAGTCAGCAGAGGGCAGTGGCTAGATGAGTGGAGAGCGGGTGGAGGAGGACGTCATTGCTCCTTTCCACTCTTCCTCTTTGTGCCTGCTTTCTTTCAGCCTGGTCACCTTTTCCCTCTATTCTCCTTGTCCCATCTTTATTTTCAAATTGGATGCTTTTGTCTATTACAGTCCAAAAAACCCAACTAAACTTAAATAGCAGAGAAAGGCATCATGTCTCAGGGCAAGAGGAAGGGTGGCTACAGGAAGCATACTCCAGAAGCTCCACAACGCTGCTGAGTTCAGCAGCCTGCCTATTTCCAGTCCACTCCTCCCAGGAAGCCTGTCTTCTGGCCAGCACCTGCCAGTCACAGACTGCCATAAATCTAGGCAATGCCCTGAAGAAAAGAGAGTTTCATCACATTTTTAACCAAGAAACAGCAGATTTCCTCTCATGTCTTATCCTAGAAGAGTTTCACATTCGTATGGTAAAACTAGAGTCTTAACCTCTGCATTATCACCAGTTTGGGGTAGATATTCTGTGTTCTGGGGAACCACTCTGTGAATTGTAGGACATTTTGCAGCATCCTCAGCCTCTATCCACTATATTCCAGGTATGAGAATCGAAAGTCTCCAGATATTTCTAAATGTCCCCAGGGAGTGCAAGTGGCAGAGAGGAGGTACAAAATCCTTGTCCCAGTTGAAAAGAATCAGTGACTTCATTTAATCACTTGTGAGAATAACGGGACATCATCAGTTTAGACTGGCAGTTCTCAATCTTTAACATGTATCAGAATCACCTCGAGGACTCATTCAAGCCTGGATTGCAGGGCCCTGCTCCAGGGTTTCTGTTCCCCAGGTGATGCTAATGGGACCACAGTTTGAGAAACACTGCGTAGCCATTCCAGGCTGTACCAATCAGTGTTCATTCCCTGGACAAAGACAAGGCTCCTCTTCCTGGAAGCATGTGGATTCAAGGTGGAGGATAGCTCTCTGTATATACTCTGTGTCCCGTTGGAAAATAAAAATGCGGAATGCATGCTATTAGGTAAGCATTACACAGGTTCTGCTGCTGTTCACGTTTGTAGACCAGGTGTGGCCAATAGACTGAACTGTCAGTGGTGGAGTGCAGCACAAAAAGAAGAAATCAGATGTCAGAGCAATGATTTCTATTGTGGAGGTCATAGCACTGCCAGGGAACTCTACTGCAGAGATTCATGAGGGTGGAATTCAAACACAACGTTTGTGACTAACAACTCTCTTTCCCCTTCTGTCTGCCTCTGGCCCTGCACTCCAATCCTGCACATCAACATATGTAAGTCTGGTTCTCTCCACCATGTAGCCAGCCATAAGTAAGGAGTTGGAGACAGAGAGACTTTTCTAAGGATGGCTGCAAGTCCATCATTCCACACAACTTGTTGAATGAGGAAGTGAAGCAGAGGAGGGTGAAGAAGGAGATAGTAGAATACCTCTGCCTTCCAAGACACAGTTAGCCTTGCCATGTGGGTGAAATGTTGTCCAACACAAGCTCTGGAACTTTGACCACCCCACCTACACCTCCTTCTGTGTATTGGGGGTGGGTGATGAATTACAATGATGGTTAGAAAGGATGAATTACAGTGATGGTTAGAAAGGAAGCATGCAGAAGCAATTTTGCACAGAGAGGAGAAAAATCTTCCTGTCCCTTAGAGATACGCTTTCTTCCTTGTAATAGAAAGGCCCTGCCTCTGCCTCCACAATCACCTCTCTGTATCCCAGAGCCAACCGCACTTTTTTTTATGACCCAATTTAAGTTCTTCCTGCTTTATATTCAGTCCCCCCAACTTCATCTAAATTTTATCTGACCCTTTCCTAACTCCCTAGTCATATGTTTGATTATGTGCTGCCTTTTTTACTGTTTTATAATTTTTTTAAGGTGGGAAGTCTAATCTCTCCAACAAACCTGCATGTTCTTCCAAAAGTGCCCAGGGGTTATTTTGCTACTGGTTTCCTTCATTTCAGACCAATGTAGTATCTTTGAGGAGCCATATTCATTCCCGAAGTGCAAGATAGCATCACATAAAACCCATGGAAGTCAGAGGCAAAGCTACGGAACAGTGTTCCCTGAAACCTTACCTTCCCATGCCTTCACCTATCAGTCCAACTGGGGCTATTCAGTACCCCCTTCTGTTGGAAAGGGGATAATGATTGTTTTCAGAATTAAACATAATACATATAAAAGGTCTGAAGCTAAATCTTTCAAAGTAGGACTTAATAAATGGTAACATTCCTTATCATCATTAAAAGGTTAACGTATAGATGTACCCTTTGGTTACACACTGACTCCTCATCTACTCCAACCAACCTATGCTTCACCTCTTATCATAACCCTTTTCATTCTTCCGTATATCCACCTCAAAGCTAATTGTTTCCATTATCAATTGGCTCTATGCTGTATACAGATCTCCATCTTGTTATTGGCTATTTCTCATCTTGATTTCCTCTTTATTCTGAATTAAGTTCTGGGATACGTGTGCAGAACGTGCAGATTTCTTACATAGGTATACACGGGCCCTGGGGTTCGCTGCACCTATCAAGCTGTCATCTAGGTTTTGAAAATGACTCTTTGTGCAGACCTTCTGGTCTTCTCTGATAGCATGCCTCCCATGGGATTCAGTACACTCCCTTACCACTAGGAGGACCCTCCTACCTCAGTGTCCCCGATACATTCACATTGAAGTCAATCCACATGAAAAATGGGAAAAACGATGAGTTTGTGTCCTTTGTAGGGACATGGATGAACCTGGAAACCATCATTCTCAGCAAACTGACAGAAGAGCAGAAGATCAAACACCGCATGTTCTCACTCATAGGCGGGTGTTGAACAATGAGAACACATGGACACAGGGAAGGGAGCACTACACACTGGGTTCAGTTGGGGGGAAATAGAGGAGGGACGGTGGGGGGTGGGGGGCTGGGGAGAGATAGCAAGGGGAGAGATGCCAGAGGTAGGTGATGGGGAGGAAGGCAGCAAATCACACGGCCACGTGTGTACCTATGTAACAATCTTGCATGTTCTTCACATGTACCCCAAAACCTAAAATGCAATAAAATAAATAAATGGGAAAAAAAAAAAAGAAAAATGGGACCTCAAGTCCCTAAGCATCCTAGCTTCTTCTGACATCACAACACAATTGTTCTTTCAACTCTAAACTTACCCAGAAAAACTGAGGTACAGCCATATAGGTATAAATCTGTAAGCTGAGGTATTGGGTTTGTGTCTGGAAGGTCAGCTCTCACTCAAATACATGCCTCTGTAACCTCTCCATCTACCATTATTCTCCTGTTCTCTACTGAAAACCCCTGCCAGCATGCCTTTGGTCTCAGCAAGTAGGCTCCTATTTTTGTCCATGGCTAATATCTGTCATTATGCTTGGGCTTCTGTTGGTAGGTTCTTAATTTAGGTCTTGCACTGCACCTGGAGGATCATTCCGTGTGGTTTCACAGGAACTGAGAAGTCTTTAGAATAGAATAGAACATGAAGTTGGCAAGCTGTTCTGTGACCAGGAATAAAGAAATCCTGACAAGTTTCCTCTGTATAATATTTCTAACTTTCCCACATTTCTCCATCTTCCAACTTATGCAGGAGATATGTCTCTGTGAAATATTCAGAACAAAGAGACCTAGAATTTAGCTCAAGCATAAATCTCTGAAGATCAAACAGGATCCTGGAGCTTCCATATACTTTAGCTCATGGATTTTCTGTATAGGAGAGTTATTTGTTTATAGTAAAACCTTCACTCAAAAATTCCATTCACTCTTTCTTAGACACTCTTTTTGGAAACTTGAGTACCTGACATCCCAACCCATACACAGCTAGAAAAAGAAAGTT